CAACTCGCATGATAACAAATTATCATTTTAATTATTATACTAAAAATGGATTAACAAGGAGATTCTACATCTTAGCAATGCATCTAAAAAATATTTGATAAACTTTTATTTTGATTTATAGTACGTGATAAATTAGATATAAATTTATTACAAATTATTATTGCAATTTGATTAACGGTATTATTAACTTTAACTCAATAAAATATGTAGTTCTCGTGAGTTCGACACTTTACTATATTACTTGATCACGATCTTGTTCACTTGCAGGTTTTCAAACGATCAAGTTTTTATAAAAATCCAAAGCATTCGCCACTTGTTGCCTCTGTATGCGTGTATATATTTATTTTCCAGCCAATTTTGACTTTGCCCTTGCCTTTTCTCCATTGCTTCAGCCTCCCCCCCCACCCCCTTTTTTTTATCTCTCTGCAAATTGTCTGCCTCTTTTTTTTTTCTTTTTGTGATGTCTGTTCTGTATTTTTCCTCTCCCGTGTATACATATATCTTATAAAACCTAATTTTTTTAACCCAACAAAAGTCTATCCAAATTGAGGCACAATTAATTAATGTTTGCCTTCCAAATCCTCAACTCTTTCACGTAATGCAAGTTAGTCCTCGTACTTTAAATTTTACCATTTTCGCCACCTTTTGCTTCCTTCCTTCAATTAATTTTCCATTCAAAGAATTTCACCTATTAAACATAAAATGCAACAATTTAGAATATATTTTGTCAAAAGAACTATCAAATGTCATTATTTTAGGTCCTAAATATGTATAAAAATTCCACTTAGGAGACAACTCTACGGTTGACCTTAGCAGAGAGAGAGAGACCACGTCTATTGGGAAATTGATGTAATGGGGAAGGAAGATAACGTCGTCATATGTGTCTGAGTATTCTTGGTTGAAGAGCCTTGTCGCCGAAAACCCATCTTCCATTATCGCAGCTGCTAAAAAATTTTAGGGGTTTAGATATTGATGGTGAGTAAAATATTGGTTGGGACTTGAATTTTTCCCCGGTTGCGCATCCTGAACTTTTCGGCTGGTAGCAGGTGGTTGGGGAGGGGGAGGTGGAGGTGGTCGGTGTGAATTTTAGGTTTGAGGTGGGGGTGGGTGAGGGTTGAGAGGAAGAAGACGATTGTGTGTGTGTATTTTTTTTATTTTACTTCTTATTTTTTTATTTAATTATTTAATGTGATAAATTGAAAGTTACTCTTTTGCCCCTTTTTAAAATATAAGAAATATGGTCAAAGTTAAAATTTTGGTCAACCGATAGAATTATGGATGAAAACTGTCCAAAAGGGCTTCATCTGCAACATTTGAAATGGTTAGGGGTGACGGATGCAACAAATCAAAGGTTTGGGGAAAGTCTGCTAATGTTTCAAAGGTTTGAGATTTTTGCTGCAATTATCTCTAAAATATTTTACGCGTATATCAAAAACTTTTTTCTTACTTTTTAACTATGCATTCTCCTAAAAATTCTATTCAAAACTTATTTTTTCCCCAATTAATTAGAATAAAAAAGGCTCAATCATTTATAGTTGACAAGGGATATTTTAGATTTTTTTTTTCTGAAAATAGTATAAAAATAAAGATAGATTTAACAAATAATTAAAAGCCTTAATTTAATGTAATCTAATGGTCTAGATTTGTATTATTAATATATATTTTTTTTAATTAAAGATCTTCCACACCACACCGTTGCAACGACCCCTGCCAAATTAAAGGGTTTTTTTCTTCCCACTCTTACCACGGGGAATCCCACCTGGTTCTTGCACAGATAACAGGGTGAAAAATGTTAAAGTCAATTAACAGGTTTTTTGATTAATTGCTTAATTAAAATAGAAGAAAAATAACTTTATTTACCCATAAAATAAATAAATAATATATTTAACAGAGAAATCCCTAATTAAGGCAATGGTGGCGGTTTGTGAAAGAACTTGGGATAATATGACTAATATTACTGAGTTTAAATTTGATATTCCAACTTTGCCGTTCCACTAAAATTTTGAAACTTCATTATAATTTTGAGGTGTCAAAACTTCGGAGGATATAGTTGATCGTGTAAAAGAAAATAAAAAATTTTATATCTAAAAGTTGTGGTGATGGATGAAAATTTTAATATTTTGACAGTTAACACGACAACCAAGTCGAGACAGCACATGTGAAATAGTAAGGGCCTACTTTGGAGTTCCGACACATCGGTTATGATGTTTTTTAAAGTATCAATTTTGAACGTTTATGAGTTAATCAACCTATAAATAGTTTTAGTAGTGATTTTTAAAAAGGTCCAACCCAATCTTGGGAGCTTATTATT